GTTGTAAAATCTACAGCTGTTGAAAAAAAACACATGTACGGTAATATCAGAATGAATAATTAAACAAACCTAAAACCTTAAGAAGAAACAAAATAATAAACTAGCAAACAATAACGCTCCCTGAACCGTTTCAAATATGTAACGTTTGACGATGTTAAACTGGCCCAGGATAAGCTGCAAAACTGTTTTATCTACCAATAACAAATTCGGTGCTCTATCAACCACCCAAGACTATCTAATCCATATTATTTGTGCAAGTGCGCTAACCGCCTGGCTTCAAAAAAGGTTATAACCTGCGAAAACAGCCGTTTCTTCTCGCTCCCCGTTGCTTGGGACGTTTAGCCGAAAGAAGCGTCTGCGCCTAAGCGACAGAAATTTCATACTGATGACGTTGAATCTGTCCGGAATCTGGTCAGGAGCTCTGATTGGTCGACGTAGTGGTTGTATAGTTTTAGCAATATGTTGGCGAATGACAGAAAAGACCACAAAGGTCAAATGTAAACGCCATGAATCTATGACAAAGCAGTCAATAATCGTGAAAACGGCTGTTTTAGCAGCATAAAACTGAGGTTCCTAAGTTTAAATCTAAGTCCTCAGTAAAACATGAAAGGGACATTCATGGCACTAATTACGCTGGTGTTTCCTTTTCCTTTCCTTTCTTTCTTCCAGGGAAACTACTTTCACCATCGCGCGAGTTAACGCACAGTAGATCGAAGCTGCAGGTGAGCTTCGATAAGGCAGCGATGCGGTGATGTTCACCAGAATAACAACTGGTCGTTCCAAGCCACTGTACTTGCGGAAAGTACTAAAAACGACGCATTCAGAATCATTCCCTTCAGCATCCACAACTTCAGGAAGACGAATCTGGCTGCAGAGATCTTGTCTCTTGGGAATGAAGTCTTCCTTGCTATATAAAATGGCTATGTCCCTTTCACTATAGCCTTCTTTAAACAGCGATAGAAGCGCTTCTTTCAAGGCGGCCATTTCCTCACCTCTTGAGTACCTCTTGAAAATGGGTTTTTCTCCATCAAAATCGTGTCCCATTTCAATTTGGCGGGCAGAATGGTCACTTAAATAGCTTTTGGCCCAGTTGGAAATTTGTTTCGAATTTCTAATCACTTTGGTCAAATAGGAAGAAGGATGCTGGTGAATCTCATCTGGGATGCCAGTGGGGTAGCCGTGATTTACTTGATTCTTATCGATGAAAATCCACAAATAGCCTGGACCTGAATTGACACGGTCGGTGTCACTAGGCTTTGAGACTCGGCATTCAAAGGGGTCTATTTCGGAGCCAGAGTCGCTCTCAGAGGTGGTATCACGTGTGCAACTCTCGTCTTCGTCATTCTTCAACTGGATAGAAGATTCTGCAGTCGGAGGATTGCAAGAAGTGGGATCGAAATCCATTTCAGAGTCCGAATCAGATGAACTGTAGTCCAGTTTAGAATCGTAATCTGAGACGACGCCGGAGTCGTGTTTAGAATTTGGACAGTGCTGAAGAACAAGTGATCTGGCCATCTCTAACCAATCCCCATTTTCGCTTCGATAATTCTGGACTTCATCCAGCACGACATGATACACGTTAGGAAACGACATCATCATGAAGGATCGACGGCATACGCATTGACAAATGCCGAGTTTACTGAAAAAACAACAAGAAAAAGAGAGAGATTTAAATTTGGCCAGTTACGGGTCAGGAATTTGACATATGAGTACACATGTCCTGGTCCGCATGTAACCGGATATTATTGAACACGGGGATTTTTTTTTTTCGTTTTCTAAAAATACGCGTGGCACGTCGCGTATTCGAATAAAATTTGCCTGTCCATACGAAAACGCTAAAAAGATGGAAATAGGATAGTATTCCTTACAGGGCATGCGCCGTATAATGTATGACATTATCATCGTATTGGAAAACTTTCGTTTACGCCCGTCCACAGTTTTCACCGGGTACGTGTTGACGGAAGGTCAAACTGGAGAAGAAATATCTGTTTTTAGTGAAACAAAAACAGATACGTGTGGACAGGGCCTAATACAAACCCCTCTTGATTACGGGTGGGTCAATTCATTTTAAGATACACGTGCAATTCCCCTGATCTATCAGATATGAAAAACTCTTTCAACGGACTGTACATTGAGCCGTTTGATGGATGATACTAGCTATAGGGACCTTACGATCCGACAATTTGCGACCCGGTCGTTGAATAATAGCCTTTGAATCCTTTCGAAATTTTCGCGTTTATTTCATGTCGCCCAGCAACTCAAAGAAGGGAAATTTAGCTTTTCCATTCTAACTAAACATAAAATATGTCCTTTTCACATCGTAGTTGTACAGGAATCATGACAAAGAGATTTACAAAAAGCACATTAAACGTTCCCTTTGCCGCCGCCGCAGTAGTTTCGTAAGGTCCTTAATCACACAAAGCGGCCTGACTCTCTAGTTGGTAACACTGGAACAGCAAATACTAAAAAGTGAAATATACTTTTTACACATAAGGTTAGTGAAATTACCTTATTTTCCGTCTCAATCCCAGGTTCTCACATACATATACTATATTCCATTTTGTGAGCGTTGGATCGCGACGTCTGAGCTCTTTAACGAACTCCACTGCCACAAGGGTCTTGCCAGTACCGGCGGCACCCTTTATCCAAAGTTTCTTGTGCCTTTCAATCTCATGGTGGAGGAGCTGGAATTGTTCCACGGTCAAAAGGTTAAAGAAGCTGATACCCTGTTTATTGGATAGGACCGAGGGGACCTTTGCCAATACGATGACAAGCGATTTTAGAATTTCCTTGACTTTTCCTCGAGGAGATTCCAGCTGATAATCAACAGGGTATCGATCATCTAGAGATAATCCATCAAGCGGCAGAGCCGACGTTGCAGTGCAAGATACCAAGTGGTAGGTGATGTAGAACTTCTTGTAGCAGCCGCCATCAACCACAAGAGCTCTCTTTATGACTTTAGCTGTAGTGTGGGCGTAAGATAGCGACTGTGTTTCTGTTCCACTGGTGCAAAGGGTGAAGAGGTGGAGTCCCCCGAGCTCTTGATCAAACAGCAACAGGTCACAGATAATGCCATCAGCCTCTTCACTGTAATTCTCAGCTTTCGTAATGCAGGAAAGCCATGAGCGGGAGGCTACCAGCAGCGAACGATTGCGGCCTCTTGAACATCTCTGTTGGATTTCTCGTATAACCTGCTTTACTGGCTCAGGTTGATTGTCTTCGAAACCCTTAGGTACCACGGGACACCCAGGTTTGGCTTCAAATAGAAAGACAAATTCAGGGGTAAGACGACATTGTGTAGTCCTAAAAAATATCCATAGCCCCCCCCCCCCNCTAAAATTTCCGACATTTTTCAACTTGGTTGGGTACCCTCTGGAAAGAATATTTGTGTAAAACAAAGTTGTTGCACTATATTTTTACGCGAAAGATAATTTTTTTCTGGGATAAAATGAGAAAAAATCTTTTCATTGATGTTAATACGGTGTCTAATAAACTAAAAGACGTTCTTAGCTAATAATTAACCATAGAGGGCGATACCTTACACTACTGTCTACACGAATAATGTCATCTGCAGAATAACCAGTTGCATTCAAAACACCACGTGAACTTTCACTACTCCATTAGTAAGAACAAGTTACTAGAAGGCTTAGAACACTACCAATTACGGTGAATCAAATGTGTAATAAAGCAACAACTAGATAACTGGAAGTTTATCCATGAGCAGATGACAATTGTATTAAGGAAAACTATCGCATAGGCCGTGAAAAAAAGCATTTAGCCGACCGTAGGTAAAAGATGATCAATGCAAACAGCAATACTTGTTTGGAGGACCGGTAACAGTAAAATAACTGAAAGCTTACTCAACAGAGAAGCTGGTATTTATCAGTAACTCACCAATCTTACTCAGACCCCCTGGAAAAAAACCTCTGTAAGCAACCCCCCTCCCACGCGGAAATTCCCTCCTTTTGGACCCCCCCCCTCCCCCTCGGAATTTCCGTTGCCCTCCGTGGGGGTGGGGGGGATGGATATTTTTTGGAACTACACATTGCTGTTCGAAGGATAAGTTGAAAACAATTAAGATACATGTAAGGTCGCAATAATCTGAATAAAAAACAACTGAACGAATCATTGACTCTGTTTGGTCATTACGAGTACTGGGCATATGGCGGAAGCATCAATAACGGCAATATGTACGTTGTTAATGGTAACCGCGGTAAACTAGTTTATTTTGTGATCGAGAACAGGTCGTAAGAATTACAGCTCCTTCACCTTCATTCGCCGTGTCTTTCAGTTCGTTTTATTTTTTACCTTTCCAATCTTAAAGTTTACTTTATGCAGACTAATTATGCAGACTGGTTATGCAGAATAATTATCGCTTCCGTTTTGTTCACAGGGAACTTTCTCTGACCTGCTAACATCTTCGGTAGCAGCTAACGGTCGATTTACAGGTTACGAACTGTTAGAGTGTCAGTCAATCTAACTATTTAAAGGAAAGACTTAAAAGAAAAATTGGGCCGACTTTTGCGCTCGCCGAAATTTATGATGTTTCCTTTTACCGGGCCCGGACGAACAGTTATGTGTAAATATGCATAACATGTATCTGATGAAAAAATATTAACTATAATGTACCGTTTGTTTTCTTTGTAGATTGACCTAAAGGTGATGTTACACGAGACGAATCGCAAAGACGATTTTTAGTACAACATAGCGCTGCAATGTTGGAACAATGTTGTAACCATTCGAAACAATGTCGCAACAATGTTGCAACGCTGTGTTGAGCTATAAGCCGCCGTTGCGAATCGTCACGTGCAACATCACCTTAAGACAGAATAAAACTCATATAAACTATTCGGGCAATCTTTGAGTCTTGAACAATAAATTGCTTAAATCTACACTTAAAACTGTGCGGTTCGTGCTCACGAGGACTTGTTCAGTGCTTTCACTGAGAAATGTGTGTTAGACTTGATAGACTAATATTTAACAATTATTCCTCGAGCTCGAATGGGCTCTGACTCAGAGGCCATGAGGGCGAGAGGAATAAATGTTTTCATAAAATCCAACTAGTTGGTCAAAAATATCAAAAATAGCAAGCTTTTAGCTAGTTAAAGCGAGGCGTTAATCCTTTTTTGCCGCCAAAAAGCCCGCGCTTTTCGCTACTAGTAGGCTATAACATATAGCCTAGTAGTAGCTCAACCAATCAGAATGCAGCATTGATAATAGACCACTAGCTGGATTTTACTAAATAGATTTAGCCAAGGCTAAAAGCGAAGCTCTCGATAATATTTATAGTTTGTTCAAACAAAATATGAAATTGTGTAATGCTAAGCGGCGAAGGCAACGCCGGAGAACGGAGAAAAACAACAATAGGTCTAATTAGCAAAAGAGCAACTTTGCACGTGCAGCGCACATTTTTTTGCCACGTTTTACACGACTACAACGTGAAACTTCCAGAAACGTCTTAGTTATACGTTTTATGGAGGGAATGTCGTACGTGTCATCGTTCACTTTTTTTTTCAATGCCGCTCATTTTCACCTTGAATTTGCGGCCGCTAGCATTTCTCATTTTCTCACCACCGCTACAAAATTTTCATGTTGTTCTCCCAACAAAAAAATGTCTCCCTTATTTTTTATCTCTCGCTCTAGATCTCTGTCGCCCTCTTCTCGATGAGCTTCGCTGGCCTGCCTCCTATTTTCCCTTTTTCTCTGTCTTTCTCTTTCTCTTTCTCTATATTCCAANAAAATTTTCATGTTGTTCTCCCAACAAAAAAATGTCTCCCTTATTTTTTATCTCTCGCTCTAGATCTCTGTCGCCCTCTTTCTCGATGAGCTTCGCTGGCCTGCCTCCTATTTTCCCTTTTTCTCTGTCTTTCTCTTTCTCTTTCTCTATATTCCAAATTTGTGGACATGACAATTAATCTAAGCTTAATACTTTAGACCACAGGGATACAAAAACAATTTACGCCTTCCGTTTTCGCCTTTATTGACTCTTAAGTTGTCTCTGCTTTACAAGACGCAGGTGGCTATGCGATTTCCCGCCAAAAAACCTCGAGTTGCATTTGGGTTGCCATACCTATTGAATGAGTTATTTTACATTTGGTATGCCTGTGGTGCGGACGGACGGTCGGTCGGTCGTTCGGTGTACGGTCACGTGATTACCGAGTATAGATTTTCTTAGCTATGGGGCTCCGCCCACGTGCGCGCGCTTCGTGGAGCTCCGCTACAAATTATGACTTTGACTAATGGTCGCGGGTCGAAGGTCGAATGTCGCGGGTGAGGGTGGAAGGTCTAGGGTGGGAAAATGATTCGCGTCAAATTTAAGTTAGTGTTCGAGGTAACGGAGTAAAAATGACTGATTACACAAGCTTAACGGAAAAACTGACGACACTCTTCGGTAGCCAATCTACTGGTTACGAATGTTAGAGTCAATATAATACTGTCTAAAAAAAAGGCCTGAAAGAAAAAGCTGGCCGACTTTTGTTTTCGTTGTAAGTTTATTATTTCTTCTTTTCCGAGTAAAAATGACTGATTACACAAGCTTAACGGAAAAACTGACGACACTCTTCGGTAGCCAATCTACTGGTTACGAATGTTAGAGTCAATATAATACTGTCTAAAAAAAGGCCTGAAAGAAAAAGCTGGCCGACTTTTGTTTTCGTTGTAAGTTTATTATTTCTTCTTTTCCGGGGGTACCCAACCAAGATGGAAAATCATGGAAATGTCAGGGAATAGCGGGGTATAACAATACCCCCTGGGATGCAGGGGTTCCATTGGCGGTCTAAAACAAAAGTGTCCTCCATCGGGGAGGGTATAGATACTTTCTGGTCAGGAACTACGTAATGATAGAAAAGAAAGCAAACCTACAGGATAGTCTGTATCTGACGTCAGTGAGCCCATAAAACGTACCTGCAAGGAAAGCTTTCCTGATTCCTTCAACAGAGTCTTGCAAAGTTAGCAATGGTCCTTTTAAAATGTTCAAAAGTTGATACTTGGCCCTCGATCTTTTTGTTCCTGTTTGAAAGATATATGTAGAAAATGAGGACAATGTACAGTATGAAAAGAAACGTCAAAAACAACGGATTTTTACCTACAAAACAAAAAACCTGAATCGGATCGTCAACATCCCCTAGGGGTAATAAATTGTCCATGGGTGAGATGTGAAACCTTCCTCCCTTAGTATCGTGTCAAATGTTTCCCCAACGTACGGTATTTCATAAATGTATGTTTGCACTTGATTGATTTGTGGTTGTGGCTGAACAGTACCATGATGATACGCCACTTGCACATCTTCCATAATGCACCTTATTTGCCCCCCAAAACTTTGCGTAAGCATTGTTTTCAATTTCTCTTGGGACGGCTGTAATACCACGCAGGAGAAAAGAAAAACAAATAGGGTGCATTATGGGAGATGTGTAAGTGGCGTATTCTTTATTTTCATGAAAAGGCACAGGACAACCACTCATGAAGTTAAAAGCAAAAAAACAATGATCAACAAAATTTGCG